TGACAGAACATGAGAATGTGTGTTCGGTCCATCTGTTGTAAAAGATCAGTGAGAAAAGTTTTTATTTGCTCCTAAAAGCAGCTGAGATGATGTTTATATAAGAGATGATCCATGGAACACACACACACACACACACACACACACACACACACACACACAGCTGCAGTAAATAGGCAGCTGTGTGTGTGTGTGTGTGTGTGTGTGTGTGTGTGTGTGTTGAGCCAGGGATAAAACTTTAATAAATGCACAACTGTTGTCATCACGCTCACTCACACACACATTTTGATATAAAATAATCCTTGACCCATATATTTGTGTCTATACTTGTGAGGACCTACTTTACAAACAAGCTCCGTTATTATACGTTATTGTTAAAAATAAGATGTTCTCTTCTCATATTATTATTATAACAATCAGTCAGTAGAGACATAGACATTTATAACAGCATTAAATTCATATGCAAATATAATTGTGAACCAGTCTGTGCTGCTGCTGCCACCTTGTGGCTGTTATGAGAAGTCACATCCTGCTGACTCATTTTAATGAGGGAAAACAAATATAACTAAGTTTTTATCTTATTCATGTTTTATTTATATGATGATAAAATATTCTTCATCATATTTGATCAGGTGTTGATGGACATGTGATTTATTGACAGCAGCTCAAATGTGTCCTCAGGTTTGACCATGTGATGATAGTTTGACACGGCCTCAGTGGGGCGTCTCACCTGTCCGCCTGTGTCGACAGCGTGCACACGGCCTTGGCGGCGGCGGTCCCGGTCATCAGGCTCCCGCCCCTCAGGTCGAGGCCGCGGCCCCCTCGGCTGCTCTCCCTCAGCAGCTCCTGGATGGACAGAGGCTGGATGACGGGCTGACTCAGGCCCAGCTCCGAGGCCTCGGGGCTGGGCTCACAGCTCAGCTCCTGCCCCAGGTCAACGCCGGCCGCCTGCTGGCTCTGCTGCGTGATGGTGGTCAGAGAGGACGGCTGCAGGGAGCCGTCGCTGAAGTGGGTGTGTTCCAATGAACTGATGTACTCAGTCACCCTGAGAGAGAGAGGGAGAGAGACAGAGGGAGGGAGAGTAAGAGAGAGAGAGGGAGGGAGAGTAAGAGAGAGAGAGGGAGGGAGTAAAGTAATTCATTAAAGTATCTAGTGTGTCATTTTCATTTTCTGTGTGTGTGTGTGTGTGTGTGTGTG